TATAAAAATAATAAAAGATAATATTAAAAATATATTTTTTTGAACAAAATATAATGGACATGACTTTTTTCATTTAAGAAAAATTTAAAACGAGAAATATCGAATTATATGTGCCTGAAAGAGTGAATTTTCACAATTTTTAAGCATATATATGTGACCTGGTCTACGAAAAGGGATCTAACGTGCGAAATGACTTATGACTTTTTGGATTCTATCACGTGAAAAAGCATCTCAACTAAAAAGTGAAATTTGATTTTTTGACACCTAAGTCCCCTTTCCGTAGACCAGGTCACATATACTGTTTGTTAATATTACCTAAGGGAATAAAATATTAGCAAAAAAGCAACTAACTATACATATTTACAACTCAGCAGTTCGCCAAAATTTAACTTCGTTTAATGTTAACGATGACTGCTTTAAACCATGAGAACATAAATTTATATGCTATCGATTTTTCAGCTGCAGACTGCCAACTAACTCTGCAGTACTTTTGCAATAAACCTTTATTGGGACAGCACTAGTAAGCCAGTGTATGTGTGTGTGAAAAATTTGTGAAGCGTATAAATAGAAAATGTTTACAGAACAATTAAATCAAGGTAAACAAAAGCCAAGTGTTAGCAGCGCAGCGGACACGCCCGCCTGAAGGCCAATGTCCCGTTCGCCAATACAAATCTTAAAAACTGAACTTTATTTACACGAGCGATGGTTAATAAATATAGAGCGCATAGAAAGAAAATTTAGCATACAAAATAAAAATAAAAAGTAAAATTGTAACTGCAACATTTGTATATGTGTATACATGCATATATGTATGTTATTCATATTTATCCGTGTATATGAGCGCGCTCGCATATAAATTTGTCCGCCCTTCGCATGCGAGCGCAAAAAACAATCAATAAACGACTTCCGCTTTCGCTTAACCGAGAGGGCGGTTTTAATTACTGCCACAAGAAGCAATAAAACAACAATACTACACTAACAACAACAATAAGCAATGCAACTACTTTAGCCAAATAACACAAAAGACAGCAAAGCAGCAGTTCAACTAAACAGAAAGTGTCGAATCGATCGTACAAAAGTTTCGTTTCGTATTGTTAGAAATTCCCTCAAWACATATTTATGGAAGGCGCTCGACGTCTTCAGTAGCCAGCTAGCTAGCTTTCTTTATTGCTTTATTCACAAGCAAATAGAAGCTATAAATAAAATAAATAGTCCAGGAGGACAGCTGGCTGCCTGGCTAACCGACCAGCCGACTTTGGGAAAGTGACCACCAACACAAACACAAACAAACAAACGACTAGCATGGCAACAACAAGCGGCCGCGCGATAATTTACTGAAATTGTAACGCCACAGCTACCGCAGAAGCCGAGYTGACGAGTGGACAGCCAAGGAGCTGCAGTTACACCCTTTATGCACTCATAAATTAATTTTTTGTAACTATTTGCTTTTGGTTTGTGTTTTTTTRTTTTTCGTCCCTGTTGTTGTGTACTTGGACCCCGTTTGGCGCTCGCGSTTGCATATTAACCCTTCAACGCCTGGCGGCGTTGCATTTAATGAGTCAGTGCAATGGGCGTGGYTGCGCAAACTTTCACAAAAAATAASAAATTATTGATTTCGGCAATTTTTCAGTTGTCCCCTGCGCGCTGCAGGCGCCTTCTTTGCCATTGTYGGCGGCTAATTAGCTTGTCTCTGTCAATGTAGAAGAATTAAAGGAAGATGCCAGAGTATAAGAGTATATTTGTATGTGTTACTTCGGCCAGTATACAGTTATATGTGTATGTGCGCGCCTTAGCGTTTAAATTTAAAGCGGCTTCAGCAACTTCGAAAACGTTACGTATCTTATAATTCGAAAATTTGGGTTCTTATTATTTTTTAGTATGAGCTTGACAGCTCTCCTTCTGTCATTATTGGCAGCTGTCAAGTTTATATTTCTTATATAATATATAATTTTTTGTATGTTGCATATATGTATTTAAGTCTAAATTTGAAATAGTTAGAGTGTAAGAAACTTATTTTTTTTTTATTTAATTTCTTCTCAGTCAAGTTTTCGCCCGAGGCTATGCGGTTAACGTGCAAATTAGGCAGTTTGTAAAGAAATGCAAATATGTTTGCAGAGAAAGCAGACAACAGGCACTTACATACATTAAGCAGGGGATTTCAAATGAAATTTTCTTTAAAAAAAAAAAAAAATTCCATGTATTTAAAATTTTTTCAAACTTTTATTAAATTTCTTAAAAAAACCAAATTTCAAAATTTTTAAAAAATAATTTTTCAAAATTGTTTATGAAAATATTTAAATATTTTATAGAATTTTTGATCGCAATCGTCGATTGTCGTAAATCGTAAATTGTAATAGTTAAATCTTACAAATTTTAATTAGTCTGGCAACACTGCCAATGCGTACTTCTAATCGAAGCAAATATTTATTTTAYTAATTAAGTCTTAAAAAAATAGAAACAATTAATTTCAGTTTCCTTCTTGTTTTTTTTGTCCATCAGGTGGCAACGCCAAGCATTTCTACAGTTGTAATTATTATTTTGACCAACATTAAATCTACAATGCGGTTTTTGMAATTTTTCTATAAAAAACAAAAATTGAATTAGTCTGGCAACACTACCACATTGTACTTCTAATCAAAGCAATAACTTATTTTCATAGTTAAATCTTAAAAAACAGAAACAATTAAATTAATTTTTATTAGGTGGCACCGCCGAACTATTCTACAGTCTACGGAATTTCATAMATTTATATTATAATTTAGATTCTATATCTGTAATTATTGTCGCAARCAACATTAATTCTACAATGCGGCATTTGATAGATTTTTGTAAAAATATTTATAAAAATAAAAATTTAATTAGTGTATCAACATTGTCGCAGCGTATATATAATTCAAGCTTGCAACAACATTTTACGTTTGCTACTACCATAAATGACATACCATATTCAACAATCGATTTATATTCAAAAAAATTCTAATTTAAAACTTATTAAAAAAATTTATTTTTAATGCAACTGGAAAGCTTATTTATTTTTTTATATTTTTTTTTCCAACAATCCTTTTCAACAATAATGCTTCAACCTTATTAATCCTTTTTTTATCGAAAACTTAAACAAAAATTAATTTTTTAAAGCACATTATTTTCGATTTTATTAATTTTTTCTTGTTTCTCAAAAACTTTTCCGTCTAAAATGCAGTTTTTATATTCAAAGCTTAAAAAAAGTAAAATTTATTAAAGCACGTGGCAACACTATTTTAAATTTTATCATTGCTTTTCTATATTTCACAAAATTTTCCTTCAAAATGCGTTAAAACCAACGCACGAAATTAAAATTTATGAAATTCGAAATTTCTTCACACAAAAACTATTTCGCGCAGTGTATCCCACRCTAAATTCACAAAATCTCTCGCGCCCTATGGAAATGGAAACTTYATTACAACAAGGGGGAGTCATTCTGCAACACCACCCTGACATATCATGCTGGCTTGTCTACTGTTGCAACCCAGCCATTCAGCCAGCCAGCTTGTCTATTTACCTAGACTGGCTAAACAAAGCGATCTCATAACAGTCGCGCCATACATATCGCAAAACAACAACAACAGGAATACAAAATTTATAAAAAAAAATAGTTAAATAAAAAATCGTGTGGTATTGTGAATGTGAAGAACATGCAACACCCACGCGCTGCAACATGGCAAATATTCTGACGTACGAACGAGTTTGTGATCCCTCGCCACCTTGGCTTCCACACGAGCTGCGCTCAAGCAAAATTTTTCGCATGTTGTTGAGGTGTACCGCACTTATAT